GTGTATACGATGAGTGCGGAATCTTTAACCAATGAACAAAGAGCACAAATTTTCACTAAAGTTCTTGGCAGAACAATCACCTATGAGCAACAATCGATCAACGATTTCTACAATGAAAGTATCAAATTTGGTTTACCGCATGCTCTCGTATATCATTTCCTATCGACTGTTTCGGATATTCAACCTAAAAGCGTTACTCCACAGTTATCTATAATACTCGGTCGACCATTGCATACACTTGAAGAGTGGATAAAAGAAAATGCTGCAGCATTTCAATAAACAGTGATTTATTTGATTTTCAAGTTAATATGAAGATTATTAATAAAGAGATTAGATTATCTTTGAAATGGATAGAATATAGTTGAAATATTTATGCAAGAAGCTCTTTAAAATTGTAAAAAAGCGAAAGACAAAAAGCATAAGTAGGGAAACGGCAAGAGAAAATGTTGAAAAGTCTTAATGAGGGTGTCAAGGTTGTTGAAGATTCACATAACTGACATGACCGTCGCCCAAACATAAGATTGAGAAAGATCCCGTTACATTTTGTGGAACTCACAGTATTTTTCGAAGAAAAATAGTGAGTGTAAGTTTTATATCCAGGATCTTTGGATCCCCCAATGGGCCGCAAGCCGCTACGGGGTCACAGAGTGCAAGGACGACAGGCACGACACATGATGCAGGCACTGTAACGATTATTGTAGCCGTATGACGTATAGAAGTATTAGAAATGTACAGAGTATTAGAGTTATGGAACGTAGAAAAATTTTATCAGCGTATCCAAATTTCTATTATTTACGATTCAAGTAAAAATATTTGCATTTCAAATACAGATTCGTTATTTTTTGCTGTGCTGTTTGGACCTTACTCTGTATTATTTGAATTATACAAAAATGGTCCAACGTGCACTTTACTCAGAAAAATTTCACGTAATATTTTCATATTAAGCTAAGGACAGTCAATCGTATATTCTATTCTTCAGTTGAATCAACTGCCTATACCTTTTGTGACTACTAGAAACGCTACCAACCTGAGAGTGATGATTTTAAAGTGAGTTTACTCGTTAAGTATTCTATTCTAATCCACAGTGCCGTTTTGCAAATGCAAGCATGTGATTTCCACATTTTTGCTCCAAAGGCGCTGCGCTGACAAGCGTTTCTATTCCATCTTACAAGATGAATGTTCTAGAACTATATTTATGACAAGTAGCGCTCATCCGTTGGATTCGCTGATCCTTTTCTGAAAGTATCAGAAAACGAGTAGATAAACGCTCTCACTTAGATCTCAAACTAATTGGGTTCGAACTGAAGTCACTTTTATGCTCATTCTTTCATTTGCTGCTTCATTCATGTCGGATTACTTTCAATTCATTTGTCCAAAGACGTAAACAAAACGAACAACGTTTATAAAAACAAGTAACGCGGCTTAGTAGCCGCTAAACCCTCTACTGAAAGGATAGTATTAGAGCGCTACTATTCGTCCAAGGCGAGAAAAAAGTTATCTCAGTTGAACGATCTGATCATTTGATAATTTGTCAGGATGTTTTACCTAGACCAATTTCGCTTCCTGAAATCTTCTGTAATTATAACGCCTAGTCGTTTGTCGGCCTCTCTTCGGTCGACCACTCAAGGGTAGCCGTCGGTATCTAATAAGTGTTTATTGATATTTTCATATTAAAAAGTGCCTCGTTCTTGTTGAGTCCGTCTCTAGCAAAGTTGCCGAAATTCTTCACAACTTCATGACCTACAGTATCTTTTATTATCATTTTTAGTTGAATGAGTTGGTGATCTACATAGTTTTTTCTCGCAGCTCGAAAAGATGTCATATATATATATACACCTTATAAAAATGATGGCCACTTTGCGACAATCTTATAAATCTCACTTTTCAACGAACTTTCAAAAGAAACAACTAGTCGGTCGGCCACTCACGGCTAGCTGTTCCCATGCGCACTCATTTTACTATCTTAACTTCATTCGGACGAAGACGCGTTTCGAAAATGAGCACATTTCGGAAAAATCAATTCATAATCAAAAACTTAGAAGCTTTACATAGCTATATGATTCTCTGGAAAAACTTTCAATCTTCTCTCCACCACGAGGAACCTTAAACGGCTGCCACCTATGTTCGTGCAAAGCAACGATTAATTTCTGACCACGAAATCTTAAAACTCTATAAAAATCACAAAGTTTGTTCTTAAAAATATTATTCTGCAAATCGACGACTAGTCGCTCGTCGGCCTCACTCCGGTCGGCCACTCGCGGCTAGCCGTTACATGTACATTTTCACTCTTCCATTTATTCTAGAGTCACTTTTGAAACTAATTCATTCATTCCCCTCTATTCCTTCTTTAAAAGTCACCCTCTTTGTGCTACTGTGACTGACGAAGACAACACTTGACAAGCGAAACATTATTTTGAATGGCTGGTATCAGATGATATTCGTATAGTATAGCTGTTTCTAAAAGTGTGTGATCTCATTAATATGCTTATGACTATGGAGATCCAGCGATCGGACGTCAGTCAGCTATTACATTTTGCTCTACATATTGCCGCTTAAAACATTATCGTCTAAAAAATTGATCTTTTGTCGCAAAAAACGGGTCAGAAAGTGTTCATGAAAAAACAAACACCGGATTCGAGTTCCTCGACCCCGAAAACCGTTCGGTCAACCCTTACTCGACAACAAAGAAAATTTTCATTGGTTAATTAGCTAATTAGCTAATGAGGTAATTAGAATTTCGAGAAACTAACCTCGGATTCGAGTTCCTCGACCTCGATTACCCTTCGGTCAACCCTTACTACACATATTAATTATTCATGCTTAGTTAGTAGATAGTTAATTAATAGTTAATATTCAGTTAAAATTAATCTCAGATTCGAGATCCTCGACCCCGAAAACCCTTCGGTCAACCCTTATAAAAAAATATCTTTTTGCAAAAAAGTGAACTGTTGTCGCAAAAAACAGGATAGATAGTTTTTACGGAAAAAACTAATATCGGCTTCGTGATCCTCGACCTTGATTACCTCAGGTGAATCATTTCCGTATGGTCATCTCTAAGGTTTCATTGGTTTATATAAAACTGCAACCTGATTGGATTGGACAAACTCACAAACTTTTAGCTTTTGAGCCACCGATTTTAGAACGCTATAACCCTTTCTTTCAGAAAAGGGAATAACGTATAATATCATTTTCTAAATTTATATCGATTCAATAAGAATGACCTTGAAAGTTACGAACAGACATTTGTCGACACATCGATCGATGATATTATACAATATAGGCTATCGTTGTGCTGCTAAGATTGCTCAACAAACAGATATACCTATCGCGGTACTATTCAGTGTAATTTGGCCAAGATTCAGAAGCAAGGCGGCGTCGAACATCGAAAAATCCAAAATGAAGAGAGCGTTATAATTGGTCAATGGATTTGAAGAAATAGTGAAATTAAAGCCATGAACATAACCACAAAAGTTCACACAAAGAAAGATTCGCTTGTTTCCCAATGGACGGTGCATCGCCATCTACGCCGATTAGGTCATAAGGAACTCCAATGTTAACAAATGAACAAAAAGAATGGCGTGTTCAATGGGCGTTGGCACATAAGGATGATAATTGGAGTCGAACAATATTCTCTGATGAAACATCTTACCAATTATTCGGAAATACTATCCACCGTTGGTGGAAATATGCTGACAAAGAAACAAAAAGAATTCCAAAGAATAGACAGAACATTATAGTGTGAGGTGCCTTTAGTGTCAAAGGCCTGTTGCAGTGCTATACTTTTCGAACAATAATGAACGATCGCCTTTAAGTTGAAATACTTCGAAAGCATCTCATTCGTAACTCAAGAAAACAACTTGGACGTCGATGGCGATATCAGTAAGATATTTATCTAAAACATACCAGTAGAATAACGAACGAATTGGCTGACCAAGTAATAGGCCTCATCTTAACCCAATTGAAAATCTTTGATCTATACTTATATGATATGTAGAGAAACAAAGACCATGAAATATCGACGAATGGAATAAATCGATTTGAAAATTGTAAATAATTCAGTACATTCGATGAAATCAAGATGTTTAGCGATTATTGATTCAAAGGAAGGAAGAGTAGATTATTAAGTTTTGTAGCATCGTATGCAACTCAACTCTTTATGAAAAAATAGATTTCTATTCAATAGTAAATAAATGGCAAAGATTTGTGAAAATTTATCGGCAATTTGTTTTGCGCCTTACTGTATACTATGAGTGCGGAATCTTTAATCAATGAACGGCAATCGATCGACGATTTCTACAATGAAAGTATCAAATTTGGTTTACCACAGCCTCTCGTATATCATTTCCTGTCGATTGTTTCGAATATTCAACGTAAAGTTGTTACTCCACTACTGTATCCCAGGTCGAAGAATCCGGCCCGGAACTGACTAGTTCCAGGACCTTCCGGCGATTTCATGGAAGCAGTATTCCGGCTACCGAATCCTTTCATCGCATTTAAAAGGTTTTATCGGGAACCAGCAAGAACCCTCCATAACCATTAGTCGGATACGGTTACCGGTTCCTTCAGTGGGATTCCGAGTATTTTCTCGTGGTTTCCAGCGCGGATACTATAAATATCCTGCGGGTTTTCACGGGAAATAAGCGGAATACTGCTTCCAGGAACGATCGTCCTGGGATAATTCACTTGATTTTTACATTAATATAATACTGAATATAGATAAAGTCATATCTTCGTCTTCGCTTGCTGTTTATACTTAGTATAGGAGATATTAAGTATAAAGAAGAAGAAAGTCAGTACTTGATGAAAGGATCATACAGGTAAGCTATAAACGTGTTAGTGATCATCGAACCAAAACATTGTTTATCATACTTTGTCCTATGACAACAGAAATGTGCATAGCGAAAAGGGAATATTTATAACATCAACTAGTCAACCATACGAAAAACCTTTCATAAAAAAAGCACGCATTATTTGATAATCAACCATCAGTAAGATAGAAGATACATATAAATAAATGTGCAACTGAGTGTCAATATCGAAGCTTTGTCCTCAAGAATTAAGTCTTTGGTATTACAGATTCAAAACAATGATAATATATCTCATATCCGGCCCAAGAAATTGTTCTACGGCACTTATGTATTCGTTCAGCCAACGGCCAGACACGACCGCCATCGACGAGCCGTTTTATGGCCTGTGGTTAACACAACTCAACGAGCCACAACCGTTTTTTGACGAAATTGTCCAATCAATGGAATGTAACGATCAAAATAAAATTCACGATCTCATTGAGGCAAAAGAGAAAATCAAAGGTAATGTTTTTGTTAAAAATATGGCAAATACAGTTAAATATATGAACAGCTTGCGTATATTAAATTATCATCCGTTATTTCTTATTCGTGATCCTATCGATACAATTATATCACATGCAAAGATATATCCAAAAGTCACTGCAGAAGATCTTTGTTTAGAATATCAAATTGAGTTATACGATCGGCTAAAAACAATGTTAAAAGAAGATCCACCTATCATTGATGGAAATGAATTACGAAAGAATCCACTGTCAGTATTAACACAAGTATGTCGCCAATTAAATTTGCCATTTACACATGAAATGTTATCATGGCCAAGTGGCCCTAATCCTGCAGATGGTATATGGTCAGAAGCTTGGTACAAAGATGTGCATTCCTCCACTGGTTTTATTCCATTACCATCCATTAGAAAAACAAAGGCAGATATTCCCAACGAACTGGTTCCAATCTATGATCAAGCAGTACCTCTTTATCAAAAACTTTTCTCGCACAGTATTCGAGCTTGACCGAAAATGACAGTCTATGTGAGATATATTAATTATAACCTCGCCGTCTAACTAACACATTTCTCCCATTAGCATGCTAATAAATATCTATCTTCGCTCGAAAATATCTTTTCAGATCATCTATATTATCGGTTGAAGGAAGAAGAAGAGGAGGAAAGAAAAGCAATGTCGACGATCTCAAATATTAAATCCCAATCAGTGACTAATCAGAAGAGCGGCGATAACAATGATCAGATATCGCTATTGAAACAAACGCCAGAAAATATTCGTTTCTCTACATATAAAAATGTACTCGTCCTGTCTCTGGGTTTCCTTGTACAGTTCACTGCCTTCTCTGGTATGAAAAATCTTCAAAGTTCGATCAACACAATCGATGATATTGGCGTGAACTCACTGACCATCATTCATGGTTGCTTTTCCTTCTCTGCTGCATGCCTGGCGCATTCTTTCATTGGTTTATTCGGCCTCAAATACACTCTGCTCGTTTGTCAAATTCCGTAAGTACTACTGAAAGATCGCGCTGCAGTATGTTGTTCGCCTAGATTTTTACTCTTCGTTCTGGCCAACTACAATGTGGCGACTTATGTAATGATTGCAAGTAAGAACTGTGCACTTCTCTGACTAGCCGATCATTGTGTACTTAGCTGCTGTAATTGTTGGTCTGGCTGCCGGCCCTCTATGGACCTCAGCATACAGCTATGTAACAGACCTAGCATGTATCTATGCTCAAGCAGCATTTGTCAATAAAGATGCCACTGTGAGTCAGTTTATGGGTATACTGTATATGGGCTTTTAATCAGGTCGGTTAGTATCTTCTATCTCTGTTCGCTATTGATTCCATTGTTGATACGATATGTAGCTCAAATATGGGGCAATCTTGTTGCATTTCGGATTCTTACCCCGGAGCGAAATATCAATACTAATTTAACAACGTTTAATAGTTCTCTACAGTACGATAAATGTGGTGCTCATTTCAGCGAACAAGAATATAACGAATGGGTGACGGGCCCACCAGTTGACGAAACAACAGTTAGTCTTTTTCAAGAGCTTGCTCGATCATCTCTATGAGATATTATTTTCCAGTTTCATACTCTGTGTATCATTTATACTTGCATATGTGCTTTGTCGATCCTATTACTGTTCACCTTCCTCGATGATCGACAAGTTCAAACATCAGGTACTGTAGAAGCTCGTGCCTTTGCTAATCTCGATTATTTGTATTTATATATTATAAGAAAATATCTCAATGTTGATACGCAAGTCAGTCAAGCTAGTTCTTTCTAGCGTGAAGCATATGAAAAACATTATACAGCTGCTTCTGATTCCGTTGAATCCAAAGTACATTGGTCTAGTTTACATTGTTTATAGTAGCTGCAATGATTAACTATGCTCTAATTATCTTTATGTTTGCCTGGCAACCAACTCAAAACCAAGTTGTTGTTCTTTGTGTAATTGCCGGTCTTTGGGGTGTGAGTGAAGCGATCGGGTTAACACAGCTTACCGTGCTATATGGCATGTTATTTCCTGAGACGAATGAAGCCGCTTTTGCGAACTTTTGCCTTTGGGATGCGACTGGATTCGTAATATGCTACATCTTGCTGCCACATGTCCGTGTCACAGTTGGATTGGTGATACTATTTCTAATGCTCACATTTGGTATGTGTGGATATATGACAATTAAATATCGATGGCATCGAAAACAAGCAATTGCAAACACAGATACACTAGTGTTTGTCCCTTAGTCAGGACATACGAAAGATTCTATACTTTTACTAGTATGTGACTGCTTTTTTGAATATCACGATTTATTTTCAATTTTCAAAGGAAGGCATTTTATCTGGCACATCGAAATACACTACTTCTCCTTGTTGTAACATAAGAATACGATCACTATTACCTACGGTATTCAACCGATGAGAAATAGTTAGAACAGTACGGTCACGAAATTTGTCAGCTATCATCTCTTGAATCATACGATCCGTCGCATAGTCTACATGTGCCGTAGCTTCATCGATGAGTAAAATATGACTTTTCTTCAGGATAGCTCGAGCTAAACAGATTAACTGACGTTCGCCAGTACTTAAGTTAGTACCTGCCTCAGCTATTAGCAGATGAAGACCATCATGATTATTGGATACCAGTTGTTTGAGTTGCACATCTTCTAGCGCTCCAAGGCATTCTTCATCGGTGTGTTGTTCGAATGGATCAAGATTGTATCGAAGTGTACCACAGAAGAGAACTGGTACTTGTGGAATAACACTCAGATGGGAGCGAAGACAGTCTAATGAGAGTTGACTAATATCGATGTTATCAATCAGAATCGTGCCTGTAATGGTCGTTCGATCGGCAAGTCGAAAGAGAGCTTGAAGAAGTGATGATTTTCCAGCACCCGTTCGACCAATGATTCCAATCTTTTCTTTGGATTCGATTCGTAAATTCAAATTCTTCAATGCAGCATCAAGTTCGGGCCGATAACGGAACGTATAGTTTTTGAATTCAATTACACCTTGAGAAGGCCAACCATTTGGCAGTTGATTGTTTCCATCTGTAGAACGTTCGGATACAAGTTTGCCGTATTCATGCAGTCGTTCTGCACTAGTCATAAGATTTTCTGCTTCGGCAGATGCTCTCACACCCCATGAGAAAAGAGCAGTCAAACTAAAACAGTAACTTAGACTAAGTGCTGCAGCAGCTGGATCGACTTGATGGCGCAATGCGACTGCAAGAACTGTTGTCACTAAAATCAGTAAACACATAACAGCATCAACTCGTAGACGTAACCAACCAGCGGCAACAGACAAAATGAAAAAAACTCGCGAGTGCGCATCTATTCTCTTCGTAAACATGTTCAAAAAATCCATTTCGACATGAAACGCACGAATACTGGACAATCCATCTAGCGACGACGATAACAGAGCATAGATCGGACTACGTGCAATACTTTCCAATCGTTTCAGTTGCGAACTTGAACGTATATAAAACTGTCGCAACCACACCAATGAAGGTAGAATTGGAATAAGAACTAAAAGAATCCAAGGGTTGTTCCTACCGATGATCACGATAGCACCAACAGTCATTAGAATGCTTTGTATGCTATCAACCAAAGTTGCTGGCAGTGCTTCATCCAATGCCTGTTGATCTTTACTCGCTCGATTCAATATTCGTCCGCTTGAATTGCTTTCAAAGAAACGTATCGAAGTGTATAAAATTCCTCGAAGCATTCGATTATGAAATTCTGTCGATCCGCATAGAATTATGTAGAATACATAAATAGACCGCATTAATACAACAAATAATGTTCCTAGTGCTAGTCCAGCATAAACATATGCATAAAACGTTGACCGTTGTTCACTTCCAGTTTTACTACACCATAGTGCAAGCCAATAATTTGTAAAATCGAACAAACCTTCGGCAGCTAACATAACAATCAACATAAACAACAAACCAAACCAACGTAGCGGCGGCGCAGTAAATAATTGAAACCAAATGTTCCATTGGACAGTACCATCAACAGGTGTTTCTTCTTTCACAATCGAACATTCATTGTCTTTCGCTCTGTCTAAAGTCCATTCAGCTTCGTCACCTACAACTGATTGATTTTCTCTTATCGTAGTCGATGCTTGGTCAACAATAAATTCTTCAATACAACCATTCGCCAAGAGGATTGTTTGATCTGCTTCAATCAGGAAATGTGTTTGATGTGTAACCAATATTCGGGTTTTGCCACAAAGGAGACTCTGTGGACCAATGCATTGGTCAAATATTTTCTTTGCTACTTTTGGATCGACGGCAGCTAAGGGATCATCGAGCAAATAAACATCGGCGTCAGCATAAAGTGCACGAGCAAGTGACAGGCGAGCCTTCTGACCACCACTCAAATTTACTCCTTTATCAGCAATCACCAATAAGTCACCCACTTCACCGAAGTTCTGCAAATCGATATCGAGACAACAGGCTCTGATCACCGTCTGGTAACGTTCTTCGTCCATTGGCTTTCCAAGTAGAATATTCGCTCGAATTGTATCTGCGTAGATCCATGCGACTTGCGGCGCATAGGAGATAGAATCAAACGATAGTAGGACTTTCCCATCGACACGATTGATTTCACTGAGAATCGCAGCTAGTAGTGACGATTTTCCTGCCCCGACAGCACCTTTAACTCCTACGAACGTGCCACGTTTGATCGTGAGATTAAGATTGACTAAACAAGGTGTAGATTTCCATGAGAACGAAGCGTTTTCCATCACTATTACGCAATCATCCGATGCATGTGGTGTTTCTTCGCGTTTGTTCACTACAGTAGCATTTAATTCCATAAACTGATCTATTCTTTTAGCAGACACAATTGCATCACTTAGTTTTTCCAACGTGTACGCTAATGTAATCGTCACTGTCGATCGGACCATTGAGAATAGGGTTAAAACGGCAAAAATATTCGCTGGTTGCAAACTCTCGCCCATCAGCCAACTTCCGCCAAAAGTCGCCAGAGAAATCAATGATAAACTTGCGAAGAAGAGACCGACGTTGAGTGCTCGTAATAAACTCGATTTGTACAGACTGGCAAGTTCATGCAAACGTGTTTGTCGCACTCGTTTCTCCATCGCTTCTTCCCAATTGTACATTTTAATAATTTGACATCCATGAACAAGTTCGTTTACTGCTTGAACTCGTTTATCTGTACATTTTATTCTTTCCATTCGATATCGACTGAACAATTTACTAAATATCAATTGTAAGAGGAGAATTAGAATAAGAACTACAAAGCCAAAGATCGTCGGAACTCCAATATACCACCAGATTAAAATAAATGCTGAAACGGCTTCCAAAGGTGATAATATTAGAGCATAGGCGAAAAAGACAAGCTCTTGAAATTTGCTTGTGTCATTTGCAACTAGATTGATTACTTGAGCAGTAGTATTTTTATGAAACTCGACCGTACTGACAGTTAATAGATGCTTATAAATGGCACATGACAAGGCAGTTTGCACACGCATTCCGACGCGTGTGTTTTGAAATTCAATGTGTTGATGAATGATGCCATATAGAATTGCAGCTGCACATAAAGCAGCAGTATAGAGATAAGCTACATACACTGATAGAGTTGATTGACCTTGAATGTAGAGAACGAGTTCGCGGATTAACCACGGTTGTGCAAGGCGAACTGCAATGTATGGAAACAGAAGTAGAAGAGTGGAAATGTAATCTTTGAAAAATGTTCGAAGAATAACGTGCCACGTTCCAGGCCATGTTGAAATAAACGATTCTACTCGATTTAATGATGAAGAGGATTTATCGATGATGGCAAGATCACTGAAATCGCTACTGGTAATCGTACGCCGATTGCTTAGCGAAAGGATTGGTGTTGCCCAACTGAAAAATATCAGATAAATCCATCGAGTACACGACGATTGTGCCCAAGCTAACCGACTTGATTCTCGTTGCTTAACATCATTTTCGACTTCATGTGCCTGCATCGATTCTGTCGTAAAAAATGCCTTTATCTTGCAGATCCCTTACGTTCTTATCTTTTCATATCAATACGTCAACATCCATCTACTTTTGCAACACAAATGTATTTCGAGTTACAAATTCAAATTTATTCATCAAATTGATGCTCATGTTTAAAAGAACGCTCATCGATATCCTTAACCTATTATTCAATTAACGCCCAAAGAAAAAGAATTGGCTATACTGACAACAGTTACATGCAGCGCGTGTGTGCGTTACTAATACTCGATAACTTGTAAACCTTTTATCATTCGAAATATACTTTTCAACACCACATGATTTTCTACCTGGATCTTCTTCAATAGTGATCATGACTGGATCACGTTCTGGAAAATCGCTACCCGTACTAAAGGAAAATCCCAAGGCACAGGTTATACCACGACTTGGAGTAACATAGAAGCCTGCACGAAACCATTCTTTCTCATTACAATCATGACGAGCAGTAAATTTTCCGAAACAGAGATATTTCGTATCAATACTTAAGTCAAATACATTTTGTGGACCTTCATGAGGCAAATACTGTTCACTTTCACAGGATGTATAACATCAGTAGATCGAACTAGGCAAACGACTGAGGTATCTAAAGGTCAAATAGAGTACAGTCATAATTCATCATAGAAGGGACGACTTACATGATATTTTTTCATCTGTTGTGTCTAAACAGAACAATAAATATAGCACTAAATGATCCAACCTGAAGATGATCCTACTTACTGTCAGCTGCTGTTTGTTGTACGCTATCCGGTATTAACCACGTAACAGATGAAGGAAGAGGTAAGAATGTTTTTCCGTTCAAGGGAAAATAATCTTCAACAAGTACTTCATCTCCAGCCATTTCTCGAGTTGGCCATGGATTAGCAAGAGAAAGTTGAGCAACAGCACTAGCAGATACTCTATTCGATGCATTGTCTAGTTCTTTGTCAGTGATTGGGCTATGTTGATGTGGCCAATCCGATCGATTTTGTAAGAACGTACGAGCTCTTTCGAGTTTGCTTTTGAGAATATTGATATAGAACTGGTAGCTACCAGGTACGTAGAAGAAATTATAAGCAGTTTCAACGCTCCTGTTAATTGAATAATTAGTAATTCGAAGACAAATCATGAACTCTTCGTATTCAAGAAAATCTTCATACGTGAGAGGTTTGCGAACGACTATCATTTCAGTAGAATCGTTTCGTACAAATAGACGAGCGATATTTCGTGCAAGAGCCATTGCCGCTTTCATACCAGAATTCATTCCTCTACATGAAATGTAAAATGATATCTATTCGATTATCGAATTATGCAACAAACCTCCCTGACCAGAAATGTACGGCCATAGCCGCGTCACCTGCAAGACAAACCGGAATCTTCTTTATTTCGTGTTCAAATTCTTTGACAACGGATATTGCATGCTGAACATCGATTTCAATTGGCATAATTCGAAAAACGAATTTATGAGCGATCTTGAAAAAATCAAGACTTTGTCGTATTATTGTCCATACACGCGAATTAGGATGTCTTTCGAAATCGAGAAGGTTCACTTTTTCATTACGTTGTTGATTTTCCAAGTGTTCTCGAAGTCCGCATATTCTTCAGGCGTTAAACGAACATTCAAATATCCTCGTCGACTGGTTGACGAATTAACCAAATAACGTGTTTGACAGATAGTAAGAATACAGTTGAGAGCTTGATGCAGAGGCTCTTCTTCAGGAGGAATATCAATTGGTATATTATATGCAACACCACAAGCATATTCTGTACTTTCACGATGTAATGGAATATTGCAATAACTTCGAACAAAAGAACCGGTACCATCAGTGCCAACAAGAAGATCATATTCGCCTATATACAATAGCCGCATTTAAAATTCGATCGATAGATATGAAAGCATACCGCTATTCAGACGATCCGTTATTTCGCTTAAATTTTCAGGTATCAAAACAACTTGTTCACTTTCAACGAATGGATCGAGTAATGCCAACAAACGGTCTTCTACTTCACGTATTGGTATATTTCTCGATGTTGGCCATACGAGTTCGTCAATGTTAGAGAAGAGACCCGATTGAATAAATGCAGGTATTTGATAAACAACATGATCTTGTCAAGTAACAACTTGATCTTCACCTCGCCATTGCACTTTTCCGTCCTCGTTGATGAACCAACGTCCTTCATAAATATAGATCTTAGCATGATTTTTCATCATCGTCGATAATGATAATGCAAAAGTAAGACCTACTGGACCTCCACCTGAAACTATCACAACTAATTGATTTGAATTCGATTCGGATGCCATATATCCACAAGTTCAATACAATATGACGATTAGTTGTATTCGTCGGTAACTCTAACAATATAATATTTGCCGTTCTATTGTCAAAATGACAACAAAATCTAACTTGTGTCTCAATCATACGGTAACATTTATAAGGATACGAATGAGTTACTTTTTGTTACTCATAAGTGTGAAAGAAAAATTTTCCACTGATCCACGTGACTCATTTATTTCTTTCTCTTACATGACAACATATTAATCTCTTTTCTTTCTTTTCTGTTCTTGCACGTGTGATACACCCCTTCAGTGTTTTAGGTTCCCGACTATAATTTCAAGGAGGTGCCTTAGTACCTGATTCTGTTCCTTTTCCGCTTCCATCAGAGGTAGAAAAAGTTGATTCTGAAAGTGCAAAATAAATTGCAAAGAGTGTTTGTACGACAGTATTCAACGTGACGCCACTAACATCACTATACAAATGCAGCAGAAAGAAACAACAAACAGAATAACGGTGTAGTCAACATTGATCGAGTTTTTTTTCTCTTTTGCTTGTTTTTCGATGTTTGTCTTACTGTTATAAAAATTGGTAAAGAACATCAGAACTGGAGATTCGTATGAAGAGTGAGCATCGGCAGTTTTAATCAAAGCGCTTTATAACAAGCAATGAGTACAAATGGAGATACAGCAGCATCTATTTTTATGCAGCCAAGGCGGCATATGATTGGAAGTGCTTTCGTTATTTGGATTGATGATAAATTCGATCCAGCAGACGAATCCTGTCAAAATATCCTAGTGCAGCTTCAAAGCGCAGTCCCTAATGTTTATGTTTTTCGACAACGCGATGAATGTGCTGATTTTCTAACTGATATTAGTGACACGGATGCGTATCTGATCATATCTGTACCTGTTGGGCAACAAATGATTCCGTTGATTCATGATGTTCCTCACCTGAAGAGTATCTATGTCTACCACAGAAGTCAACATATAGACGCAAACGACAACTACGCTTGGAATAAAGTTAAAGGTATATATACGGAAATTACGCTACTCTGCGACGCATTGAAAATGATCAATAAACAATGCAATCGAAATGACATAGCCTTAAGTTTCCTGAAAACCGATATTGATGCTGACTCTCAAAATATCGATCAACTTGATCCTACATTCATGTACACTATGTTACTTAAGGAGGCTATATTAACTACCAAGTATGACGAAAAAGCCAAGAGCGATTTCATTCAACTTTGGCGTGATGCTTACAGTAACAATACTGCTATACTGAGCCATATCGATGCGTTCGAGAAGGCCTATTGTTCGCAAAAATCAATCTCTTGGTATACTCGTGAGTATTTTATTTACCAGATGCTCAATTGTTCTCTTAGAACGTTGGAAGTTGATGTCATTATGAAGATGGGCTTTTTCATTTGTGACCTTCATCGACAAATCGAAAGTTTACAAAAGCAGCAGATTATCCATTATCACGAAAAGACTTTTGAAGTTTTTCGAGGACAAGGATTATTCATAGTCGACTTCGCCANTGAATAAATGCAGGTATTTGATAAACAACATGATCTTGTCAAGTAACAACTTGATCTTCACCTCGCCATTGCACTTTTCCGTCCTCGTTGATGAACCAACGTCCTTCATAAATATAGATCTTAGCATGATTTTTCATCATCGTCGATAATGATAATGCAAAAGTAAGACCTACTGGACCTCCACCTGAAACTATCACAATTAATTGTTTTGGATTCGATTCGGATGCCGTGTATTCACAAGTTCAATACAATATGATGATTAGTTGTATTCGTGGATAACTCTAACAATATAATATTTGCCGCTCTATTGTCAAAGTGACAACAAATCCTAACTTGTGTCTGAATCATATGGTAATATTTATAAGGATACGAATGAGTTACTTTTTATTACTCATAAGTGTGAAAGAAAAATTTTCCACTGATACACGTGACTCATTTATTTATTTCTCTTACATGACAACATATTAATCTCTTTTCTGTTCTTGCGCGTGTGATACATCATTTCAGTGTTTTAGGTTCCCGACTATAATTTCAGAAATCTTCGTCAGATCTCAGTGATAAAGATGTATGAATTCTACTTGTACTACGAGAAATAATTTCAAGAAGATGCCTTAGCACCTAGTTTTGTTCGTTTTTCGCTACCATCAGAGGTAGAAAAAGTTGATTCTGAAAGTGCAAAATAAATTGCAAAGAGTGCCTGTACGATAGTATCCAACGTGACGCCACTAACATCACTATACAAATGCAGCAGAAAGAAACAACAAAGAGAATAACGGTGTAGTCAACATTGATCGATTTCTTTTTCTTTTGCTTGTTTTCGATGTTTGTCTTACTGTTACAAAAATTGGCAAAAAACATCAGAACTAAAGATTCGTATGAAGAGTGAGCGTCGGCAGTTTTAATCAACGCGCTTCATAACAAGCAATGAGTACAAATGGAGATACAGCAGCATCTATTTCTATGCAGCCAAGACGGCATATGATTGGAAGTGCTTTCGTTATTTGGATTGATGATAAATTCGATCCAGCAGACGAATCCTGTCAAAATACCCTGGTGCAGCTTCAAAGCGCAGTCCCTAATGTCTATGTTTTTGGACAACGCGATGAATGTGCTGATTTTCTAACTGATATTAGTGACACGGATGCGTATCTGATCATATCTGGACCTGTTGGGCAACAAATGATTCCATTGATTCATGATGTTCCTCACCTGAACAGTATCTATGTCTATCACAGAAGTCAAAATCTAGATGCAAACGACAACTATGCTTCGAATAAAATCAAAGGTATATATACGGAAATTACGCTCCTCTGTGACGCATTGAAAATGATCAATAAACAATGCAATCGAAATGACATAGCCTTAAGTTTCCTGAAAACCAATATTGATGCTGACTCTCAAAATATAGATCAACTTGATCCTACATTCATGTACACTATGTTACTTAAAGAGGCTATATTAACTACCAAGTATGACGAAAAAGCCAAGAACGATTTCATTCAACTTTGGCGTGATGCTTACAGTAACAATACTGCTATACTTAGTCATATCGATGCGTTCGAAAAGACCTATTGTTCGCAAAAAACAATCTCTTGGTATACTCGTGAGTATTTTATTTACCAGATGCTCAATTGTTCTCTTAGAACGTTGGAAGTTGATGTCATTATGAAGATGGGTTTTTTCATTTGTGACCTTCATCGACAAATCGAAAGTTTACAAAAGCAGCAGATTATCCATTATCACGAAAAGACTTTTGAAGTTTTTCGAGGACAAGGATTATTCATAGTCGACTTCGCCAAACTCGAAAAAAACAAAGGTGGCCTTATCTCTTTCAATAACTTTTTATCTACGAGTACGAATCGAGACGTCTCTCTTCGTTACGCCGAAGCTTCCTCTGGCAGCTCGGATGTAGTAGCCGTCCTGTTTCGAATGTTGATAGACTCAAGTAAATCAACGATTGCATTTGCTTCCATTCGAGAGATGAGTGATTTTCTTGAAGAGGAGGAAATTCTTTTCTCTATGCACACCGTTTTTCGAATTAATGAAATTCGAAAGCTTGAAAACAGTTTATTACTTTATCAAGTAGATCTTCAACTGACATCCGACGATGATCAAGAACTACGGCAACTCACGGAATATATCCGACAAGACATGGGAAGTTCATCTGCTTCCGGACGAGTTGGGCAAGTGCTATTAAGAATGGGTCAGCTTGAAAAAGCCGAAGAAGTGTACACTGCATTACTTGAACAAACTACTGATGAGATCTCTAGAGCTCATATATACCATCAACTAGGATTTATGCAACGTGGCCAAGGACTGCACAAAAAAGCGCTGTCATTTAATGAAAAAGCCCTCGAAATCAGACGAAGAGTGCTTCCAGAAGATCATCCTTCATTGGCTATTACCTACAATAATATTGGTTCGGTATGTCTTGACATGAGTCAAACCGAGAAAGCACTCGAATACTACGACAAGGCACATCAAATCCTGGAAAAAACTTTACATCCAAATTCGCCCATGTTGGCAACTTCCTACAATAATATTGGTACAGTATATAGCGAAATGGGGAACTATGCTAAAGCTTATGAAATGTATGAGAAATCACTCAAAATAAGACAAATAGCCATGCCTGCAAACCATCCCGATTTGGCTAACTCCTACAGAAACGTCGGCGGAGTATATTACGATATGCATAACTATAGACAAGCATTGGAGTTCTACTATAAAGCTCTTGAAATCGACAAAAAAGTTTTGCCCCCGAGTCATCCGAATTTGGCTTCTTCCTACAATAACATTGGTGCTGTACATTTCGACATCGGTAATGCTGCCAGTGCACTGAGATGTTACGAAAAAGCGCTAGAAATCTTCGAAAAAAACTGCTCGACCAATCATCTCGATCTGTCTGCAACTTACAGTAACATCGGTCACGTGCATCACCGCATGGGCCACTATTCACAAGCATTGGAATTTTACTACAAAACTCTTCAAATCGACGAAAAACTTCTATCTTCGAGCCATCCCAGGTTGTCTCAATCCTACAATGCAATCGGTGCGTTGTATAGTAGTATGGCTGACTATCCGAAAGCACTGGAGTATTTATTAAAGATTCAGGAAATCTACGAAAAAAGTTTACCTCTGAATCACACTAGTTTGGCTATTTTTTACTTGAGCATTGGTGACGTTTATCGTCTTCTCGGTAATTATGAGAAAGCCCTTTGGTTTCAACATGAAGCAAATAAAATATTCAAAAACATTTTGCCATTTGATCATCTGCATATGGCCATTTCCTATTGCAACATCGCTGCAGTTTATCGCGACATGAATGATAACTTCACAGCGCTTGATTTCTACGAGAAATCTCTACCAATTTTAGAGAAAAATGCGTATGCCGATCATTCATATTTAGCTACTTGTTATCACGGTATTGGCACAGTTCATCGAAATTTGGCTAATTACACAAAAGCATTAGAATTTTTTGAAAAGTCGCTTCGAATAAGAGAAATTTCCCTGCCTCCTGATCATCCTGATATCGCTCAATCCTACCATAACATTGGTTTTATCTATCAGACCAATGGAGATTCTTACAAAGCGATAGATTTCTATGAGAAAGCAGTTAAAATAACAGAAAAGTGTGGATATTCGCATACTCCGTCGTCAGTAATATTATACCAGGACATAGCTACAGCTTACTTAGTTGTAGGTCAGATGGTGAAGGCAGTTCATTTCCTGGAAAAAGCATTTGCCAACATACATAAAATATTCCCATCAACAGATCCTACTGTTACAAAATTGAAAAATACCATTGACCATATAAAAATGATGCTCTAAATCTATTTTATATTTTTCCAGCTGATAGTAGGTGAGAGAAATTCTTATCTTTTCATAGCAGTGTGTCAACATCTACCTTTGCAGCGCAAATGAATTTCAAATTGGCGCATAATATTCTTCGTATTACAAATCCAAATGAATTCATTCAATTTTATCTGAATAACTTCGGTATGCAAAATACTTTAATTCACAATACATCGTACAATGTTAGTCTCTTGGGCTACCCCACAAATTATGACGAAAACTTCAACAAAACTTCGAGTGCATTGCCATCGCCAACATTTCTCGAATTACATCATGCAGATGCAGTAACAAATATTTCAATGGTTAATTCGGGTAGTGTAAATGTCTATTGGAAGATGGGAATCACATTACACGATGTTGATCATGCAAGAGAAATCTTACAATCGAAAGGAATCAAGACAAGTGATCCGTCACAATTTGAAGATATTGGTTATGTTTGTCATCTGACAGATCCAAATGGTTTTATTATTGAATTATTACAGCATCATTTTCAAGAAACATTTCTTAAAAAACACCTACCAGAAGAGAACTTTCCATTGGGATACCCGTGTTGTATTGGGCAGATCACCTTACAGGTGAATGATATAGATAAAACTCAACGCTTCTATGGCGATGTATTGGGTATGAAATTGTTGTCGATACAAGAAGTACCACGATATGGTTTTACGCTATACTTCTATGCTTGGACGGATGAAGATCCACCCAAATCGGATGTGATCAGCACACGTGAATGGTTATGGAAACGACCATATACAACTATTGAACTACGATACTTCGATGGAACAAAACAGATACCACATTTTACAGATGTGCAAAAGGCTGAAATCGGCTTTCAAGGCATTCGAATAATGTGTACTGATCTAGATTTATTTAAAGACAAAATGACAGAAGAAAATATTAGTTTCAACGAATTGAATGGAGTATTCGGGAGAGAAATTGTTATTCGAGATCCCGACAATATACCGATTTATTTTACAACCAAATTTGAATATCATGCGCTTCGTACCAACTACCATTATAATCCGGATACAGACAACGTTTTGTAGTGTAGTGCAACCAAGGGCATTCGTCGAAATTTTTTATGTAATTGTCGTATGTGTCGCCACTCCGATACATTATTTTTAGTGTGAAATGTGTCAATTTTGGAAGACGATTTTGTAGTTGTTTTAGAAATACATTTAATGATGTTCGATATTCGTCGAGGAAATTTGTATGACACGGGAATGTAACAGTATTGAGATTCGGAAAGATTTGTGCTAGTTCGTAGAAGAGTGTGCGATGGTATATTGGTGGATACCGTGGACGGTGATCTTTCAGATTGTATCGTCGAAGATCTTCGATGTGAAAATGTCGGATTTTTCTTGAAGATCTTTTTGAGAAGAGTGAGTTGAATTGTCGAATTATAGCCTTTGTATCATTAGTGGAGACAGACAATGTGACTAGATTTGGCAGTGAATTGAGAAGTTCTGTTAAGAACTTGCGCTCGTCAGATGCGAGTATAGTTTGGTTATGGAGAGTTAGATTTAGTACTTTGATAGTCATGCGGTTGTTGAGGGAGTAGGAAGATTCGTGAGAAATGACATTATCCAAATTTATGTCGAAAGTTGCTGAAGAGGTCAAGGCCACATCGCAGTGAAAAGTAGTGAGAGAAGTGAAATCACTCAATAGATGCGAGATTTGGAGAGCAGCATTGTTTACAATTAGAGTTAACGATTGAATTTGATTTCCGAATACATCAAGAAATTCTTCTTTCAACGCCTCTTCACTTATCGGCTTTTCATGTTTAAATTCTAAGAGTAGCTTTGTTAATGTTTTCGGTATTCGTAAGTAACGTCGCTGCAGATTACTTGGATTATAACAGTTCGATATCGACAATCGAAGTTCTTCAAGATTTGGTAGTAGTTTGAAAATAGATGAAAATGTCGTGGACTGAAATTTGCGAACATTCAGAGAGAAGTACTTGATTGTAGATATCCGCTCTCGAATGTAAGGGTAATCGAAATCAGATTCATCCAGGAGGATCAACGATGTCAAGTTTGGTGATGCTAAGGACGCGATCGTTTCCGGTACATCAAGACGAGAGAGTGTTAGGGTTGATAGAGAAGAGATTCGTAACGCTTGAGTAACAAGTTCTCCTTGTACAGCATACTGGTGAGAACCAAAGAAGACGATTGATTTCAGTGTTAATGATTCGAGATTGGTGAAAAGGTGAATGAGAGGTTGGAATAAATAAAACTGATGATCACCACTAATCTGAAGATCGCGGACATAATGTCCTTGATAAGGAACGACGTATTTATAAAATAAAACGAAATGTTGGTACGAAAGACTTTCTCGTGTAAGATCAACTTCATACAAATAAGGTTCAAGAATACGCTGAAAACGTTGGTTTAAGTTTCCAAAAGAGTAAAGTAGATCAAATCTATGTAGATATTGGAAAAGGGTTAGTAGAAGTTCATCAGGTAAATGTCCCATTGGTTTATCTAAAAATACAAAAAGTGGAGATCATAAAAGAGTGCATTATTTATTTGATGTAAGGTTGGCGACAGGCAAAAGTGGAGCAAATTTTTTTTTGTTGATTTTTTTATGTGATATGATGCAGTTTGATGCGCTGAATCCGAATATGTATAATTTAGTGACATAGAAAGTCATCTTCGAGAAGAAANTTTTTTGAAAAACCTTACTGTCAATTTCGAGTGAAAATCCTGATTTTTCGAATACCTCGGTTTTTGTAGTATTTTGAAGATTTCTTCTCGAAGATGACTTTCTATGTCACTAAATTATACATATTCGGATTCAGCGCATCAAACTGCATCATATCACATAAAAAAATCAACAAAAAAAAATTTGCTCCACTTTTGCCTGTCGCCAACCTTATTAAACAGAAAGAATTAGTAAGACATTCAGATTTTAACACCCTCCTTCCATTCTCCAGTCAAATTTATCGCACCATTCGCACCATATTCTATTCCTTGTCCATCCTTTTTGCCGTTCTTCCATTTTCCTTCATATCGTCGACCGTTTTTCCAGCACATCATTCCTTTCCCATGTGGTTCTCTTTGTGCATTGATCTCTCCGACATATTTATCACCGTTCTGATAATGAATTGTATCAACCAAATGCGGTGGCGAGTGCTCAACTTGTGTAGTGTCCTTGTCTATTAAAGGAATGCTGAATGTTGCGTCAAGAAAATTTTCATTCGATGGAACTAGGAAATTAAATAAAATTTATATTTTATTTGAGTGAATTCGAAGCTTTACTTGTGTTTAAGTCGGGTGTAATCACTCGAGTAACATCCATATCAGTTTCATCAACTTTGAAGAACAAAATTGGTTGTGCACAACAAGTGTCATGCGGTACTCGTGCGGAAGACGAAGGTCGTTGATTGTTGAATACACCATAATGTTGTCGTTTCTTTTCCTTATTTCCATCGAACAATTCGCTCTTTAAATCATCAATATCCGCCTCAGCGCTAATGTGAACCTTCTCTGGTTCATTACCAGTGATTTTTGCCCATACTTCAATCAAATCAAGAGCAGACATTTTGAAAGTGCAAAGAAAACGAACGATGAAGAAAAGAAAGCATCGTCAATTCAGTCACGTGGCCATCGTCTTTCAAAGAACAGAAAGAGAAGAAAAATAGAATTTTTCTTGTTCAAGAAACTTCTTTTTCTATGCGTTCTTCCAATGGAATTTTTATTGAGAAATCAAATCATGTCGTTGAATTCGACCAGCCTCCCAGTAAGCAACATAAACGAATTGTTGATCATCAACAAATATATAACGAGAAACGTTCAGCTGATTGACTTGATATTCGTTCCCATATCAACCAACTACTATTGGTCCTTCGTTTCTTTTGACTCCCCCAATTTTCCATCTTCTTACTTCATGTCTTTCCGAATCGGGAACATACAGATATTTATATTTATCGATTGCCAAACTCCAACAGTCAATCTTTTCAATGAGAATTTTTTTTATGAGTTCGATTGAACCACGCGTTTGTTTTCTCGATTAGTTTTTTTTCTGTGTCCTTTTCCAGTTCCACGAGCAACAATCATACCGTCAGTCACATTTGGCTCCTATTTCATAATACGATTATGTCTGGAGTCAGCAATAAACATATTCTTGACTCAATCGACGAAAATTCAAGCACAGTAGATAATTTGATTGAATTGTTTTCCATACCCATTTGTTGATTTCTACTCCTAAAATACAGCATAGCAAAAAATAGACATTTCACTGATTAACTTTCCAATTTAGTTTTTCGCTAACGACGATCAATTCAGTTTAAAAGCATTTCAGCTTGCGTTTCGTTGTGGTTTCCAGTTGCATCGTAGTTGACATTGGTGGACAAACAGTTTCATCCATAATTGACAATGGATAATAAACAGCACGATTATGGGTGAATCCGTGAGGACCCGTCCACTTTTTGGAAAGGTTTTTATTTTCGTTTCAACAAGCCGGCATACATCAGAAAACACTTTTGGTGAGAAAAAAAACTGGGTCCTATCTGCCAAAAACCCTGAGTTTTCTAGCGTTTTTTAGGTACAAGTACAGTAATTTTTTATATAGAGACAAATGACAGAAAAACGCCTAGAACTCTTTCCAAAGCTCTTTTTTTCAAAGTTTTCCCGTATTCCTGAGCATAAAATAAGTCTAGAAATTTTTTTTTCTGATGATAACTAGACCAGTTGTATTGACAATGATAGGTCCTGAGCCGTTTTTTGTATGGATACAAAAATAATTTTGGATGCTTGTTGGACATTTACTGCTACAGGTCACTGGAAAGGTGCTGGTGAAGGAGTTTGTGCTGTATTGAAATCCACCAGCAAGTGTGTCACACTTTCTAAGATCATCCTCATGTCAAATGTGAAAGATTTCTGCAAATTTTTCCAAAAACAACAAGTGACGCTCGCCGAGTCCGACTCGTTTAGCCCTCGACTGATTTTCTTTTAATTCTACTCTTGTCATAAGAAGTTTTCAAAACATATATCAATCCACTCATCTCGCAGGCAGTCGTCGACATCCCTTCGATCCGCCACTTCCGACTACTCGATATTGTTCATAACATATACACGTTCTCAAACGGCACTCGCCTTCCTCTCTAGCTCTTAACACACAATTTAACTACCTGAACAAAATCTATATAGAGAAAGCTTTCAGCTGGAGTTTGTCTTTCGTTTACTAGTCGATCTAAGAGGAAATCCTCCATGGTTCTCATATATAGGGTCATACGACAAAAGTATCCTAGACACATATGTAATTTCTCAACCCTACATCGCGTGACACCTGATTGGCCAGTTTTCTGATCTACGATAGGTATCGATCAGTATCAGCTATCTCCGCACGTTATTCGTGAAGTTTCTGTCAATATTGTTTTTAAATGATGATACAAACAAACACTAGTCGAATTCGAGCTAAGGCCTAAGGGCATATTTTCGGATACAAAAATGTTGCTCAGTCAACGGTTCAACATATTCCAAGCGACTTTTCTTTAAAATTAAAGCATTTCGGGAAAGGGGACAATGTTTTTTACGGTATCGTCCTGTTTCCTCGAAATTGACAATTTACACGAGATACACATCACAGAGCATCAAAGAGTGGTGCGGGTGCTGCGTAAGACGTTTTCGAGCAAGTAGGGCCAAACCGTTTTTTACCTTTGACCTCACCGGCACAGCTCTTGTGATCCCGTCCTGTACTCCACTATCAACATCCAGCATCAAGACCCCTCCAAACGATCCTTTATTGAATTTTGAGCATTTTAGAAAAAATGTTTTTTCGACCTTTGACCCTGACACAAACAAACACACAAACTATTTTATTTCGTATGACCCTCCTTTCAATCGAGGGAATATTAGGAAAATGTGCAAAAGTTCATCGAGAATTATGATGTTATCATCGAATAATAATAGTTATGATTCGAACATGAATCAATTTTCTCACCCTCAAGGTGCTGCAAAGAAAAGCACATGCTTTATAGTTGCTACACTATGTGCTTGTCAACAACTTCATATTGTGTGGATTTTTTCTCGTTGANATTTTATTTCGTATGACCCTCCTTTCAATCGAGGGAATATTAGGAAAATGTGCAAAAGTTCATCGAGAATTATGATGTTATCATCGAATAATAATAGTTATGATTCGAACATGAATCAATTTTCTCACCCTCAAGGTGCTGCAAAGAAAAGCACATGCTTTATAGTTGCTACACTATGTGCTTGTCAACAACTTCATATTGTGTGGATTTTTTCTCGTTGACTGCTTCGATGAGATTTTTATTTTTTTCTATTTTTGAACGCTCTTTCGAAGCAAAATATAGATATTTGCTATAATAAACAATAAACTTAAGTAATTACGTATAAAGATTTTATTGATTTATCTCATTCTTTGTCTGTTTCTTTGAAAAAACAATCATTTTGTCTGTAAAGATGTTTTTATTGCTGTCATCTTTGTTTTATTTTGCACGGATAGGCATGTATGTATTGGTTGATGGCTCATATAGTTCAACTGTCACTCCAGCAACGTTATTCTCATCATTACCACCGACGACTAAGACACTTCCATCTCGTAGTCTGCTTGCTGTATGACCTGCTCGTTCATAATGCATATTACCAGCAGGTGTCCATACTCCTTCTGATGGATTGTAAAGTTCAGAACTATTTATTCGCGCAAATTGAGGACCAATACCACCAGTGACTAGTACATTTCCATTTTTCAACACAGTAGATGTATGCTGAGAACGACCTTGCTTCATATTATCAGTAATACTCCATGATTCTGTAGATGGATCAAACAATTCTGTACTATTTAAAACATCACCATCTCCATTCAGTCCACCACTAACTAGAACTTTACCATTGGATAACAAGGTAGCTGCATGTAAAGATCGTGCATAGTTCATGCTAGCAACAACTTTCCATGTTCCTGTTGATGAATTATATATTTCGGCATATTTGGTCGCGAAAGAGTCCACACCCCGACCACCAGTGATAAAGACGTTTCCATTTGACAAAACAGTTGCTGTATGCCATAGTCGTGAATACTTCATGCTTTTTACCAGTGTCCAAAATTGGTTTGATGGATCATATAATTCAGCACTTGCAGCTGCTTCTGGATCCTCTCCACCAACAACCAAAACTCTTCCATTCTGAAGTACCGATGCTGTATGAAACGCTCGTGGTTTTTTCATGAGAAAAGTTCCTTTCCAAAATCCATCGGATAAGTCGTAGTATGAAGCGACATTTAAAGAGAACTTAACATTGCTCGAAAGTGCTGTTCCATCTGCATATCCTCCCACAACTAAAATATTTCCATCGGATAATATAGATGAAGTATGAAAGTGTCGACACTCTTCCATGAACTCATCTTTTGTCCAGCTTTTGGTTGATGGATCATATATTTCATAAGTATTACAGACAGGAAAACCACTTCCACCACTAACTATTACTCGTCCATCTTTCATCACACTTGCTGCTTGATAAGTTCGACTAAAATGTAAACTACCAGTATCAGACCATCCTAGACAAAAAAAACATACATAGAGTCCTGAAAAACAGATCTCTTTTGACTTACTTGAATTGCGATCTGTTATTATTGATTTTCTGACGGTATTAGTAGGAATTATTGGATTTGTCGATATAGTATTGGCTAATATTGACAAAATCAAGATGACAATAGCTATAAGATCGGTTTTAAGGAAATTTTATAAGAGAAGTTCGATAAATGGGATGTCCTTACTGTGTGTTGATTTGCTGTACATCTTATGTTAGCACAAGCAAAACTGAAATTCACGATAAGAAAAACAAATGAGTTCTTTTTTTTATTTGCATTCTTTTATAGATGTTGAATCTTGCTATATATATCACAAAAGATAAGTGTGACTCTCTCCATTAGACGCGTACCTTTTACTTATTCGTTTCTATCTTTTAGTAAATATTATTTTTCTATGTTGTATACATCAAAATCCAATGTGCCTACTATCTATTTTTGGATTGAAATAATATAAACGTAGAATATCTTAGAGTCGAATTCGACTTTTTCCTAGGAACATTTGGATGAACGTGTGTTTCAAATCTGAGTACACTACATCCAAATATAACCCCACGAGTACTATCAATTCCAACTATAATCAACCCCTCACATACACTTCTTTCTTCTCCCTAAAATCCCACCCNATACATCAAAATCCAATGTGCCTACTATCTATTTTTGGATTGAAATAATATAAACGTAGAATATCTTAGAGTCGAATTCGACTTTTTCCTAGGAACATTTGGATGAACGTGTGTTTCAAATCTGAGTACACTACATCCAAATATAACCCCACGAGTACTATCAATTCCAACTATAATCAACCCCTCACATACACTTCTTTCTTCTCCCTAAAATCCCACCCGCCCTCCACGCTTAAGTGAACCACCACTACGTATTTCGGATCAAGCTTCATGGGGTCTACTGCTATCACAGTTTAGTGTTTTATTTCTTAGATATGTCTCGTCAACAAAGATCATAATTATCAAGCTATTCATGATATAAGGATCTAGAATAAATTTTCGTTCCATAGTTCATTTCCACTAATGTAACATTTTTGATGCGTAGGTTGCTGTGAATCACAACTAGTGTCGGACCAAAAATTAATTGAGATCTGTAGAATGTTAAGAAGTGGAGATCTGAGTTTCTTGGCGGGTGAAGGAGTAAATTCTGCACCATCGTTGTGCCGAACAGTCATTTTTTCCACAATGGTACTTTGGTGAGAGATTTTGTTCGACGTTTTCCTTATTGTCGCTCTTCGTTTTTTTTTGGACTAATTTTAAGTGCACTTTCACCAAAACAGAAAGGAAAACAAACTGATTTGTAGCCAGGAATCAGAAAATATTAGTACAAACAACGGTTTCGCATTAAGGACATTGAAAATGACTGAGAAGTGGCTTTAGACAGTAAGAAATGAGCGAAAACGTCTAAATTTCGCTATAAATCAACAAAAATCGGTGAAAACCATTCAAGATTACAGTAAGATGAGTGATAATTGGATTAAAATGAGATACTGACCTCTGATGATTTCCAATGAATTTTTTGACCTATCAAATTTCCATTAATTATCAATATTTCCAGTTAATACATAGATTTTGTAGGATTTCTTATTGTTTTTGCTAGTTTTCCACAATTTTTAATGATTTTCTTTTGTTAAATTTGGATGAACAAAAAAAACATTGATTTCTGGTCTAGAAATTAGTGAAAATCAGAAATTTTTTTGAAAATCAACAAGTCAGTTTGTTGCTGCTTGCCAAAACACAGCGGAATCAACGACTTTTTTGCAGTAAATCGACCATATTTCTAAGTATTCACAGTGAGCACATAGACTGAAGGAACAATGAGAAAATTTCAGAGATTCATTACTAATCGAAGACGGTTCGGGCTACATTTTGCTGAAGTTGGAATTGAAACTACTCCAAAAAATGATGTACAGCGGCAAGAAACAAACCGTCGAACTAAATCTCTCACCGAAGAAACATTATGGCAGAAATGACCGTTAGGCGCAACGATGGCGCTGAATTCGTTCTTTCACCAGCGGAAAACCGCAGATCTCCAACTCTTAACATTCTCAGGGTACTTAGGCATGCATCAATGCCAAAACTAGTTTTGAAATTTTGATTCTGAAGTCGTGATTTTGATGTTGTTTTGGTTTTGGGCATGAGTTGCCTAATTCGACTTATATTATAAATGGGCCTTCAACAGACTAATATCTATTCGAATATAAATGCATACCAATAGAAATAGTTTTAGGAATAGATTTAGTTTTACTTATACATACATACCCCACACCCCTGTGAGTTTAGGAATAGAAATAGATTTAGTTTTACTTATACATATACACACCCACCCCCCTGTGAGCTTAGGAATAGAAATAGATTTAGTTTTACTTAAACATACATACCCCACACCCCTGTGAGTTTAGGAATAGAAATAGATTTAGTTTTACTTATACATACATACCCCACACGCACACCCGGGGATATATCTCGATTGAGGGTGCCGCGGTGGGTGAGGGTATATATGTATAAGTAGAACTAAATCTATTTCTATTCCTAAACTCACAGGGGGGTGGGGTATGTTTGTATGAGTAAAACTAAATCTATTTCTATTCCTAAACTCACAGGGGGGTGGGGTATGTTTGTATGAGTAAAACTAAATCTATTTCTATTTCTAAACTCACAGGGGGGTGGGGTATGTTTGTATGAGTAAAACTAAATCTATTTCTATTCCTAAGGGCGGTAGGAATTGGGCACTTATATTATAAGTCGAATTAGGCAGCTACTCGTTTTGGGATATTCTCGAGGGAACTCTCTTTTAGTAACAAACCTTCGATGATACTATTATTCTTTTTCTCATTATGACGCTCCTAGACGAGTCGCAATTACTCTGGTACAGTGTTGTTAATATGAGGAAATCCCTATGGAAATTCGATAAAACAACATAACAATTACTGTTAAAATCAGTGCTTTCAATTATTAAAGATAATATTAAGATTTTAGAAAGTCTTCGGTAATTATTTAAACTTTGTTCCGTATTTAGCTGTCAATTTAAAGTCGGGGATTCACACAGCTAATTCAACACTGTTGAACCATAAATATTTTAAATATATATAAATTGATTTTTAATTCCAACTGGAATTTTAACCACTGATTGATAGGTAGAGTTCTACGTGAAACGATGCCATCTACAGATACAAAGAATTTTTTCGAAAATAAAATGAGATCTGGTTTTTGAAATTTTTCCTTTCAATATTTGCTGGTTTCTACAATATTATAATTCACAAATTATCTCGAAAAATATCTATTTTTTTTTTACACAGTTGAAACTTCGCACAAGATTGAATTATATATATTAATGATTTTCGCCTACCACCAACAATTAAAATTTTATATTTATGATAACCGTACCGATTTTTTTTCGAGCACGTATCTGGTAGAGCTTTACGAATTATCGTGGCTTTTCGAATAACATTTATTGTCATAAGAAATATTGATCACTATATAATACAAATCCGCCAAATGAATTAATCATGGACGTGGAAAATATCAGTATACATCATTTACCCAATACAAATAGTATGGATCTTGACGAGACGATTGAATTTATATCGAATGGTAACAATGTTATTAGTATATAAAACTGTATGAAAAAATAGGCAAACGAAAAAGCAAAGTGTGCTTGTGATGCTGTTTTAAATCGCAAAAAAGGTGCAACAACAGGATTGAGAAAGCATTTACTTCAAGGACATAAACGTCAAGCATTTGGAGTGACGTCAACAAAACCACTTTCAAAATCTTGTCAACTTTCAACTGAACAACAGAAAAACTTCGACTCATTAACCATTAAATTTATTATCGAAGATGGTCGAAACTTTACTGATATGAATAAGTCAGGTGTACTGAAGGTGTTCGATCACTTAGTGGAAGGTAAGAAATATGGAATTTATTTAATTACTTTATGATGTTTTGTACGTAGGTTATGTACCACCACATCGTTATACGGTCCAACGTACTTTAAAACGATTAGAATCTGAATATGAAGCTTCATCAATCAACGAGTTATCAATTGTTCAATCTGTACGTGTAACCTGCGATTTTTGGAATGGCAAATGTTTTCAATCATGCATGTGTCTAACCGGTTATTACATCTTACCAAATAATGCATACATTTCAAAAATCCTTTCTTTTACATCATTCCATCACCGACATTTTTCTTCCAACACTTTAATGATTATCAAAAATGAATTAAACAAGTAGAATATTTTTGAAAAAACACGTTCAGTTACAACTGATGGAGTTGCAAATATGTTGAAAGCAGCTGGAATGCTTGATGGTAATATAAAACAAATTTATTGTTAGTAATTATATCCTACTTTGTTATTTATTCACCCAAATATCTGTGTGTAAGTATTGCTTATTGAATTCACCTCGCGATTTGCAATGGTTTTGGGTTTTTGATTGGTAGAAAACGGCAATCATTTTTCTCAGTTGTTCCTGCCATATCAAATAATGCCGATGAAATCGATTCCAATGAAGAAGATTCAGCTGATGATATTCAAATTGTTCCATAATCATTAACAATCAATAATTGTCCAAATTCAATTGCATCATTAAATCAACCATTAATTACGACAAATCAAGATTTTAATAGTAATTATAATGATGCCATTGTGAGTGAAACACTAGTCGATTAAGAATTAGATGAATTATTAATTGATACTATGGATAGCTGATCAAACGATTTTGTTGAACATATGGATCCGCCTACATGTGATTTAGCACAGAAACATATTAGTAAATTACTGAAGCGATGCCGTTCATTCGTGCAATCAGTCAAGAAATCTTTCATTTTAATGAATTGTGTATCTAATCTTAAAACGCATTTGAAAATTAATCGATCATTTCACCTAGATTGTAAGAGTCGATGGAATTCATCATGTCATTCAGTTGAAGGTATGTTGTTGTGCAAGAAGATTATAAATAAAATCAACAGCGAAAAATGTGGCATTGGTCCGAACAAAAAACAAACAGCAGACCTTTCTTTAATAGAACTAGACCAAGACGACCGAAAAATGTTAGAATTAATTGAATTTGTTTTAAAACCGATCGTGAATGCAACGGAACTTGTTAGTGGTAGTCGATACCCAATAATTGGTCTGAGTTATTTCTTATAGTTCATATTTAAGAATTCATTGAAGATAATGATGATGATTATGCTGTAGGTGGTGATTCGAAGACCTTATATTATGTAAAATCATTATTATTAAGACAGTTTCAGATATATTTTTTTGACAACTATTCACAGTTGAAAATCATGAAGGTAATTATTTTCGATAGTGTTGTGTTCAACAAACAGAATTCGTTTTTTACTAGAAGTTGCATTCATATTTTGATCGATTTGGATTTCGTTGTTTAACAAGAAGAGAACAGGGACAATGTGAACGTATTATTGTCGAATTGAATGAAGAAGTTGTCGATGAAATCAATACTATTGATCAGCCACAATCACGAAGCAGCAGTGGACGAAAAGTCCATTCATCAAAACCTTCCCTTATGGCCAGCTTTATCAGTTCTGTTAGCAAAATATTCGTAGTTGTCTCATCATCTGTTAGTACACTCAATAAAAAGAAATTAATGGAAGAAATATTCGTATACAAGTCTTTAGCTCAATAATAATATAATAATACTATTCATGATAAAAAATCTTCAAATACCGTATGTTTCGTGATATTTTTAATTTCTAAATCAACTAGTTTTTCAGTCTTACAGATGGACTTTTGGAATTTATATCGAATTCAATTGAAGTCTTTGTTCAAATTAGTTACTTATCATCTTTTAATTCCAGCGACTTCTGTTGCATCTAAAAGTGCATTCAGAATAGCATCTTATTTATTTCGTAAATAACAATCTCGATTAACATCTGAAAATTTATCTTCTTCTATCTTTTTGAAAGAGAAAATCAGTAATTAAATGATTGTATTTAAAAAAATTAGATTTTTGCTGTTTCTTTGCACAGAAGTTTTTCTCAAATTTTTTGTGATCGCGTTTTTATCACTATTTATATTTATGTTAATAGTGTGTTTTGTTGCTTATAGTCAAATGTTCACCATGGTAACCATTTGTTGATATTGACAAAATAACAGAACGATGTATGATTCATGTAATAAACTCTTTATCAAAATAAACTGAATGTGATATATAATGAAGATTATATTGAGAGAAAATATCATATTTTAATAAGTTACTTTAATTCAATTTGTATTCATAGTTTTAATACGAGCGCAAAGATAATTGTATTTTGGAATTTGCAATACAATTTCAAACAATTATATGACGTTGAAACTACTGTTCTCCTTTTATTAATTATAATTATTTAAAAAAATTCCATTATTCTTCGGCTTATCTTAATATTGGTTTATACATGTAACGAATAAGCTGTTATTTTATACAGGAAATTCTTTTCAAGATACAAATTTTTATCACTGGGATAAATCTCAATATCATTTTTATATAAAAGAAAATGCATAATATTTTTTATTGACATTTTTGCCAACAAAGAATACATATAACACAATGGCAAAAATCACTTGTCTTTAACTTTATGCATAGCGAAATGAAACACCATAGTAATTGGTAGATAATAGAAATTGAATAGCAATGTCATTCTGATGCTACCAATGATAGATGGACCATATCCATACAAATTTAGAAGATTATTTCATGTTGCTCCATTAATTTTCCAAATGTCTCGAAAATCCTGGTCAATGCTCATATGAAAATGTTTGTCCAAATTGTCAAAAGTATATTTTCATACCGCGTGCTTAAGATGAATAAGTGGATAATTTCAAGAAATATATTAACGATTATCAGCATATGCGTGACAAAAGATACGGTTTCCTATAATGCATTGCAATATAATGTACAGGCGAGCTTGCAACATATAGAGTAATTGGTCAGAATATATGATTGAAATATAATATATGAAAATATTTAGACTATACTTATATATCAAAATCAATACTATCAATACCAAAACCTAAACAAAACTCATACCCGAAATCGTCAGTACCATCCCAAAACCATAACTAAATGGAAACCAAGTCCTCAAAACCAAGAGTTTTGGTATTGATGCATACCTAGAGGTATTCACTCTAGACTTTTCTCTATTTACTTCTGGCGCCGACATTACGGTTCATCATATATGTTTTTGAATTCATACATGAGATCAATAAACAAAGACAAATGTACATCATTTCTGTAAAGTCACCCGAAATCACTAAAAATAAATTTTTCATCAGTAGAAATAGAATCCTTATACTCGTTGCCATTATCCTCTTTTTAATTCTTATACCCCATCATATTTTAGACACTGCAATATTCTCTCACAACATCTTTTTCCTCCTCTCACTTTAAATATAACCAGTTCTGATACCAAGTTTTGTTTATTTATCAATCTTATATATCTGATGATTCTTAAAATTATTTATTTATATTTGATTTGTTTTACCAAAGTCTGTTTATTTTTCTCTACTTTATTTTTTCAAAGTTTCATATTCCTTTTGTCATTAATAGAAAGTCAGGTTCCCGTATATAGAAATTATTTTACAGCAATATTTTTTCATTTCATTTCAAAATATATTCAGAACTTTTAATATTCATTTTGTTTTCTTCTGCTTAAAATTTTCCTTTATGAAGCAGATTGACACTATTCGAAATTTTTTCGTCTTATTCATGCGGACAAATCAGTAAACAGGTTTTCTAATATTGAACTAATCTTTTCTATATTCGATTAAACCTCTAAGAGAGTCATTCTTTCAATGAAACTTATTAAAAAATCTGTTTATTCATTGAAATGTTTTAAGTAATCAATGATTTTTCTATTCTGCTCATTAATATGTATATAATACAGATTTAAAAGAAAACAAAACAATACAACTACTTTCAGGTGTGCTTCGCGACATCTTACACACCAAAACTACTTAATTGGTGGATATGAACTATGAAACGAAAATTTATTCTAGATCCTTATATCATGAATAGCTTGATAATCATGATCCTTGTTGACGAGAAATATCTAACAAGTTACGATCTAAATTGTGAAATCGACAGAAATCATGCAGCTTGATCTGAAACCAGTAGTGATGGTTCAGTTGGAATCATGATTTATCGGAGTTAGTTGGAGAACAACTTAGTTTTTGGGAGGTGTTTTGGGTGATTTTCGAGGTAAAAGGTGGGTGGGATTTTAGGGAGAAGAAAGAAGTGTATGTGAGGGGTTGATTATAGTTGGAATTGATAGTACTCGTGGGGTTATATTTGGATGTAGTGTACTCAGATTTGAAACACACGTTCATCCAAATGTTCCTAGGAAAAAGTCGAATTCGACTCTAAGATATTCTACGTTTATATTATTTCAATCCAAAAATAGATAGTAGGTACATTGGATTTTGNAACCAGTCAACGAGAAAAAATCCACACAATATGAAGTTGTTGACAAGCACATAGTGTAGCAACTATAAAGCATGTGCTTTTCTTTGCAGCACCTTGAGGGTGAGAAAATTGATTCATGTTCGAATCACAACTATTATTATTATTATTCGATGATAACATCATAATTCTCAATGAACTTTTGCACATTTTCCTAATATATTATAAATAACAAAAGAAATGTGTAAATAACAGCAACTTGGAATAACATAAGGAAATTACGTTTATTGAAATAAAATAAAAGAAGAATCGACGTTTCGGTGACCTAAGACATCATTATCAAGATAGAAGAGAAACTACTAGAGAAATGACTTGAAACAACGGAAATAACTAAAATGATTATAGTGAACAATAACGGAGAGAAGAACGAATTTAGCCGTTTGGATCAGGCAACAAATCTCTTGGTAAGCCATCTGGAAACACAATAAGTGGTACCAAATGTGTTGTTCGATTCAGTTCTGACTTGAATGCTTGAATCAGCAAAGATTCTTTGATTAACAGCTGATAAGGGTTGTCATCTCTCCAAACGACACGAAAACCAGTCCAATCAGTATGATGTCCTGTATCTTTTTCATGTTGTGCGAGAGAAGATAATACTACATTTTCTTTCTCTCTCTTTTTATCATTGGTCGTGTTGGAGGTATTTGTTGGTGTAACGTGGTTTTTGTTTCGAATTTGTGATGACCGTCTCAAACGTGTAGATGTTGGATCAGGTGTTGCTGTATCATCTTCATCACTAGATGTCTGTTCATTTGGACGGGCATCAAAGGATTGTTTTGGTGCTCCATGTTCACGCAGGCGACGTACACTTTGTCTTTCGGTTTTACCGATGTATGTTTGACTGCAATCGATACAACTGATTGAGTAGACGACGTCTGACTGCATGTGTTTAGGAATTGGACCTTTGGTTTGGAAGAATGTTTGGACTGCCGGCGGAAGTTTTGTGTAGAAGCGAATGTCGAGATCGGGACGAACTTTACCGGACAGTTGACTGAATCTCTTCTTCAACATGTCCGTTGGTCGACCGAAGAAAGGTATTTCTCAAGGGGGGAAAAGCGAGACTTCATTTACTTCACACTGTGCGTGAAATAAAACGAAGTACGACTGAAGTACCATTGAATTATCAGTGAAGTACCGGTGAAGTACCATTGAATTATCAGTGAAGTACCGGTGAAGTACCATTGAATTATCAGTGAAGTACCGGTGAAGTACCATTGAATTATCAGTGAAGTACCGGTGAAGTACCATTGAATTATCAGTGAAGTACCGGTGAAGTACCATTGAATTATCAGTGAAGTACCGGTGAAGTACCATTGAATTATCAGTGAAGTACCGGTGAAGTACCATTGAATTATCAGTGAAGTACCGGTGAAGTACCATTGAATTATCAG